TGGCTGCTCTGTGGGTTCTTGCGCAAAAATGGCTGTACTTGCCCAAGAAGCCGCGAGTGTAGACATAGCCTTAGAGGGAACACTTCCCCCAGCCTCTCTGCCCCTGAGTTAATGTCACACACATTGGGTTAAAGCAATTGCAGGATAGTTGCATGAGGGGGATTTGGTGGGGGCCAAACCAATCCCTGCTGGTAGGAGGATAGTGGGAAAAGTCCTTTGAGAGGGGTAACATGACACCTTTTACTTCTGGTCATATGTCCATCTTTCCCTGAGTGTGTTACCTGCAGAGGCCTGGTTAATGGGGGCTAGGGGGTGTGGCTAATGGGGCACCACTGAAAATTATACAAATCTGCTGCCCCTGGTGGCCCTGGAGGAGGAGTGTCAAAATTGTTCGAATTGAGCCCCGCACTTCCTAAAGCCAGCCTTGCTTGCAACATCTGACTGGTGTGAATTGCTCCATTCATCTCAATGGGCATTAATAAAGATACTGGTTTTTGCTATTTTAAAAGTCTGTTTCACTGCTTATGAAGGCATGCAGGAAAGGTGAGGAAATATATTATGAAGAGACATGCTAGCATTTTTAAGTTAGGCGTGCATGAAGAACTAGTTAGTGTGGGGATAGAATAGAAATACAGGTATAGCATGAAATATTGTATTTAATATAAAATAAATACAGGGAACACTGTATACTGATTCATTATTCACTTTCATATGAAATATAAATTAGGCTGTTTGGAGTATCTACAGTATGCTGGCCTGAAGTTTTGCAGAAACTAAAAGAGTTTGCTGAAGCTTGCTGCAGGGTTTTTGTGTACATTTATAGATGCATACTTTGTATATACTGTTGACACTTAGCATGCTTTATATTTTTCTTGAACGCTCTTTTGCATCTTTCTTTAATGCATTCAGACTGTATTGAGAATGAATGTAACTGAATTTGTTGTTGCAGTTAAATAATATAAGTATGGCACACTGGAAGAGATAATTATATGATTTTGATGATTGCTGCCTTGTTTTTAGGGGTCTGATGATTGCCTTGTAAAAATCTGGGCAACAGATGATGGAAGGTTGTTGGCAACTTTAAGAGGACATGCTGCTGAAATATCTGACATGGCTGTCAACTATGAAAACACCATGATTGCTGCAGGGAGCTGTGATAAAATGATCAGAGTGTGGTGTCTTCGAACATGTGCACCCTTAGCAGTTTTGCAAGGTCATAGTGCATCCATAACATCACTACAGGTAACCATCTTTCTGTCTTTCTACAAATCACATAAGTGAGGAAGTGGATTGCAGTAATAATAATTTTTTTCTGTTAAGTTTATTTTAATAAGAAATGTGTAGTAGGTAACTACATTATAAAGGCTGGACAAGTAACTTTTAAAATTGAATGGTCCCTTTTTGTTTTTTTTATATCATAAAAGTATGACAGACTGCAGACATTATTTCTGTCCCAAAGATTTTAATCTAAGAGCCAGATCCTGCAAAAACACGTTTCACTTCACACACATGTGTAGTCTGATTTGAAGAGGCTGGGATTACTTGTATGTAAAGTTAGGTATGTAAGTCTTTTATAAGGACCAACATATGAGTTTGGCAGAAGTGTTGCTTAAATAATGTGTGTGCTAGAGAGAATATTTTTAAGCATTAAAAGAACAAGTTCATTAGGTTATTTGTTTTCTAAATCACAAGCACTGGGAATTATTAAAGAGCTTATTGTAAGACTGTTTCTATTCCTTATATTTGAAAAGGTCTTTCCTTATATTCTTCTCCCTATTGATGTTCCACTCTGCTCTTACATTCAAGATTAGAGATTTTTGCTAGCAGTGTCTGTAGTATCCATGCTCATGCCCTGCCCTGATAGTCCTCATACCCCCATTCTAGTTCCTCCTCATCCTGCTTGGCTAAAGACACAGCTCCTCTTCTTCAGTTTTCAGTTAAGTAGGTAACTGCATGCACAGTATATTTGGACTGTATTTTTAAAAGATAACTTAAATGTGTGCACATACTAAAATCCACGCCCCTCCTTCATTTATTTAGTGTTCTGGGAATTGATTATGCTGTATCAGGGTAACTGATTTCTCAAGAGAGAGTGCTATCAAGATGTTCAAAACTAAGAGTAGTTGTCCAGCTTTTCCAGGCTCTCCATTTTAAAATAAAAGAAGAAAAGTCATTTTTTTGAGTGCTTTCTCTTGTCCATTCTACATTAGGATTGTGTGCTCACTGCATGCACCATTTCCAGAAGTTTTTCCTTCAGCAGTATCTGTGGGGGAGTGGCACTCTCATGGCAACCTTCTGTTGCCTGGTGCTAGTATTGTTAGTGTCGTTCTACCTAACAGACTCTTTTCTGTAAAATACGTTGTAGTCCTTAATCATAGTTATCCCGTGGTAATTAAGAGGTAGTAAAATTGTCCCAAATGAGAGTTTGTCTTGGGATGGAACATGCCCTGATCCCCAGGCTTTAAGCCACGTGATCACTGTGAGTACCCCATGCATAGCAGCTGTCTGAGGTATCTGGGAGAAGGACATATCAGTGACAAGTGTTGCATTTCTAAGTCATTTAAATACAAAATAAAGGGTGAAAGGGACATTTGTCCTTGGGCATACCTGATGGAGTTGGTGTTGACTCCACCCGAGCAGAGGTCTGATTCAGCCCTGAGTACCCCAGAATCAGTGCAGACTACCCTGCCATCACCATTTTTCAGCCAGCACTTATCTCCCACCTCAGCTACTCCAAGAAGCCTAAGAATCTTGTGAGGGGAAG